TGAATTCGTCATGAATTGTTCCAAAACCTATGACATAATAATAAATTCGTCACAAATTGTTCCAAAATCTGTGATGTTCTAATAAATTCGTCGCCATTTTCAGTCCACGTCATCACATCACGTCGCCGCTCCGCCACGTCAGCCGGCCACGTTGGCCGCACCGCCACGTATTCCGGCTACACGTCACTGCTCCGCCACGTCAGCACACTCGGCTTGGGCTGCTAGGCCTGCACGCTCGGCTTGGGCCTGCTTGGCCGCCGCTGCTGCTTGCTCGCTCTGCTTGCACGCTTGGGCTGCTGCTGCTTGCTCGGCTTGGCCGCTGCTCTGCTTCCACGCTTGGGCCGCCGCTGCTGCTTGCTTGCTCTGCTTGCATGCTTGGGCCGCTGCCGCTCTGCTTGCATGCTTGGGCCGCTGCTGCTTGCTCGGCTTGCACGCTTGGGCCGCTCGGCTTGGGCCTGCTTGCACGCTTGGGCCGGCCGCTGCTGCTGTTGGGCCGCTGTGCTCGGCTTGGGCCTGCAGGCCTGCGGGTTAATGGCAAAAAAGAATTGCTGCGATCGGGAATTGAACCCGAGACCTCACGGACGAACGAAACCTGCCTTACCACTAGGCTACTAGTTCATTTGCGTTTTGGTATTGGACTATTTCCTTTTATAAACAGAGAGTTGCGACCGAGCTAAAATAGCTAAAGCAGATGGATCGAGAGATTCACATGCGCCGTCCCCGACTCCACCTGCGCCGTCCCCGACTCCTCCTGCGCCGCGCTGTCCCCGCCTCCACCTGCCCCGCGCCATGCCATCCCCGCCTCCACCTGCGCCGCGACGCGCCGTCCCCACCTCCTGCTGCGCCATTGTTGAGTGTCCACGGTATGTATGTGCCGGCCACCATTGTTGAGTGTTTCTTTCGACTTGGTGTAGATGTACTTGTTCATTTTGGTTGCTGTGCTATGGATGAATAGATGGATCGAACTTGGGTGCATAGAAAATTGTTTTCCCCTGAATACATTGCTGGTGTGAAAGAATTTATGAGCTTCGTTCACAGAGAATTCAGTGAGAATGTTGAAATTTTGTGCCCATGTGGTAGATGCCTTAATCAGAAATACATGAATCAGGCTGGAGTGAAGAAGAACATATTGATGAATGGAATGGACAGTACTTACACTCGATGGATTCATCATGGAGAGAACTTGGATGTAGATGTTATTGATGATCCTATTCATGTGCATGATGTAGAAGATTGTTCCCTGCATGATGTAGAACTAACAGAGGATGACAATTATGGTGTTGATCCTTTAGAAGCGGTTTTAGGAGACCTGCACACTGTAGAAGAACAAACAAGACATGATGGACAAATTGACGAAGGTAATGCAGACCATCAGGATCAAGATTCATTTTTCAAAATGGCCATGAGAGAGGCAAAGCGTCAGCTTTATCCTGGTTGTGCCAAATTTTCAAGGTTCTCCTTTGTGGTGAGGTTCCTTCATATGAAGTCATTATATAGGATAAGCAATTCTGCTTTTTCTGTAGTAATGAAGCTATTGGCTGAGGCGTTCTCGGAATGCAATACACTCCCAAAATCATATAATGATGCAAAGAGTCTTCTTAAAGAATTAGGTCTCGGATATGAATCAATACATGTGTGCTACAATAATTGTGTGCTGTTCAGAAAGAAATATGCCAATTATGATAATTGCTCTGCTTTGTGGTCTCTCAAGATGGAAAGATGCGAGAAGGAAGAAGATACCTCGAGAAAGTGTTGCGGTATTTTCCATTGGCACCTAGGTTAAAAAGGATGTTTGCAACCAAAGAAGCATCGGAAGAAGCACAATGGCACAAGTTAAAGCGGCAAATTTCAATGAGATGAAATGAGGCACCCAAATGACGGCGGCAGGGCATGGCAACATTTCGAATTTAGTATATCCAGATTTTGCAAAAGATCCAAGAAACCTTAGACTTGGGCTTGCTAACGATGGGCTTCAATCCTTTTTCGTAATGAACTCAAGATACAAACATGTGGCTCAGTACTTGTTGTGCCATACAACCTTCCACCCTGGGCATGCATGCAGGAGTCAAACTTCATGATGGCTTTGCTTATTCCAGGACCTAAATCACCTGGGAAGGACTTTGATGTATTTTTAGAGCCTCTTATAGAAGATTTACTTGAACTTTGGAAGGGTGTGCGTACTTATGATGCTAATACTCGCCAAACATTTAGCCTTCGTGCTGCAGTTCTGTGGTGCATCCATGACTACCCAGCTTTGAGTACTCTTTCAGGGCGTACCACGAAAGGCTATTTTGCATGTACTCATTGTGACAAGCACCCTCTTTCATACAGCCTAAGGAGCAAAATTGGGTATATTGGGCACTTTCGATTCCTTCCAAAAGGACATCGTTTGCGGAGAAACAATGAGTTTGCTGCTCTTCATGAAAGCAATGACCAACCAGGTCAATTCTCTATAGAAGAGCTGCTGGCTGAACTGGAGAAAGTTAAAGATGTTACACCTGGGAAGAGGAAGCATTCTGACATGGAAGGGGGTCATGTGCGGCAAATTTGGAGCCGGATGGTTAGTTTATGGAAGTTACCATATTGGAAAATTTTGAAGTTGAGACATAATCTTGATGTTATGCATATTGAGAAAAACATATGTGAGGCCCTCATTGGGACAATTCTGAACATAGCTGGGAAGACAAAGGATACAACTAAAGCCAGGCTTGATTTGAAAGATTTGGGAATTAGAAAGGAGCTACATTTTAGAGAGGATGGTGAGATGCCTCGTGCTCGATATACCTTGTCCACAAAACAAAAGGAGGCCTTTTGTAAATTTTTGAATGAGGTGAAGTTTCCAGATGGATTTGCTTCCAATATCTCAAGATGTGTAAATGCTGATGGAACCAAGGTACAAGGGTTAAAAACACATGATTGTCACATTCTTTTGCAAAGAATCTTACCTGTTGCCATTAGAGGATTTTTGGACAAGGACATTTATGAAGCAATAGCTGAGTTAGGGAAGTTTTTCAGGGAACTGTGCAGCAGAACACTTAAGAAAGATTTATTGGCTGAAATGAAGAAAGAGATCCCTATTGTTTTGGTGAAGCTTGAGAAAAATTTTCCCCCTGCTTTCTTTGATGTCATGATGCACCTTGCTGTCCATTTACCTGATGAGGCATTACTCCGAGGTCCTGTGCAATATGGTTGGATGTACCCAATTGAAAGGCGGTTGTACACTTTGAAGCGCTATGTGAGGAATAGGGCACGGCCAGAAGGCTCAATTGCCGAGGCATATATTGATGACGAATGCCTGACATTTTGCTCTAAATACATGGATGATGTTGAAAAAAGATTTAATCAGGAACCGAGGAATTTAGGTTTTTCTAATGAAGAGGCATACAATGTTGACGTTTTTGGGCATGGAGTTCATTTTACTTCCGCATCTGAACTGAAATATGATGAAAATGACTTTGATCAAATGGTGTGGTATGTGCTTAACAATTGTAGTCAAGTTGAGAAATTTGTCAAGTAAGTTGTAATTATTGTCTTTATTTTTTTTTTTGCCACCTTTGTGTTGCACATATGGTAACTTCTCTTTTTTTTGCAGAATGTTCAGAGATGAATTAGAGAGAGAAGGGGTGGCCAACATTGAAAAAACGATTCAGCTCAGATTTCAGGCTTGGTTCAGGAATCATGTTAGTTTACATCCACATATTTCAGCTAAGATTTAATGCTTTTTTTCCTGAAATGCTGATGTGTATGTGTTGCATGTGCCAGATCATGAGGTTGTGGGATACTAATCAAGAAGAGGTGGATGACGATATCTTTTCCTTGGCATGTGGTCCTGATTTTAGAGTCAAGAAATACACCTCATGCATAGTGAATGGTGTGAGGTTTAACACTGTTGATCGTGACAAGAATAAGAAAACACAGAACAGTGGAGTAATGACAGAAGGTACACACAATGGTTAGTTCATTGATTTTTTTGGAACCTTGAGAGAGATAATTCAGTTAGAATATAATTCTGCTGAAAGGACAGTAGTTTTGTTTAAATGTGATTGGTTTAAACTTGATGGGAAGAGGACTGAACTTCAATATGATGGCTTCTTTAAAAGCATCAATGTTGGAAGTCTATGGTATAAGGACGATTCTTTAATCTTGGCCACTCAAGCTAGGAAGGTCTTTTATTTGGCAGATACAAAGTTGGGTAAAAATTGGCAAGTTGTGCAGACATATGACCATAGGCATCTTTATAATGTAAAGGAAACCGAGTCCGCACAATATAATGTTGCTGCATATCAAGAGGACGAATGTTGTGATGAGGACGGAAGGCGAGAATCAGTGATAGACATGGCATATGATATTCCTTTGAATAGAAATGATGAACAAGGCCCTATCTTTGAAGCTGGTGAAATTGCTCAATGGGTTCAAGAAAGTCACAAAGGCGGGAATCACACTGATGCTGAAGAGGAAGAAGATGACACAATTTTCGAGTATTGTAGCGATGATGAAGGAGGTGCTACAATTGATGTTGACAGTGATGATGAATAGCTGCTACCAATTCGTTGTATTTTTTGTTATGAACATCTGTCAGTTCACCTATCATGTGGATTTTTTTAGCTTGTATGTCAACTGTGTAATTGGTACACCGCTTGTGATGATATCATTCCTAGGATTCCAATTCTGAACTTGTTATTTACCATAGCATAAGCTCAATTATTTATACAGTTCCCTTCGTTGTTGTTTGACATGATGACTAGGTTCTGTTTCAAATGCTGCTGATAAGATCTGCCACAAGAAATGATCATTTTGCACCTACTTTGATTAAGTACCACTGCAAGTTAAGCACCCCAAGCAATCTCGACCTCCAATTTGCAAAATAAGACAACTTAAGATAACTTAGATCAACCGTTTTAGGTACATGCATCCATGACAACAACCATAAGAGAAGCAAAATATGACAGGTAGCAAAATATGACAGGTTGTTCCTACTTCTGGCACCCTAAACCATCCATCTACTTTTTAGCTGACTTCTTGCTCAACTCCAATCGAGCATCAAGAAGTGCATTTCCATGTGCATATATTTTCTGCTTCGCTTCTTGCAGCTCCTCTTCCAGCTTCAGGTTCCTGTCAACTGCTACATTAACTTCATTGATAAGGGAAGCTACATTTTCTTCTTCTTTTTTCAGACGTCCTTCAAGATAGGCTATCTTCTTTACCATTTCCTTGGTCTCTTTCTGGGCAAGGATGCACGTAGGGCACACCTGAAACAATACAAATGCAAGACAGGTGCTCAGCTATATTATGCAGGCAGTGACTATCACAATAAAGCACAGGGATATGGTGGCAGAGCCATTTCCTATTAACACGCCAGAGAAACCCACACAAAAAGGCTGAGCCGCATCCCCTGATCAAAACTGAGGCTCTATATTAATTCTTTATCGATCGGGACGTAATAACGCTTATCTCTCTAATTAAGGCAGTAATGAAACGATGACAAGTATGTCAATAAATCCAATATAAACAAGCAACACCCAAATGAGAAGCCATTGATAGAAGGTAATAAGAACAGCTACGTTTTCAGTACCAGTACCGAGTATTTGTCATTGATAACTCACTAAATTGTCGTCGGCCTCCTTGCCGGACTCCTTGCCGAAATCCTGGAAGCTCTCCTCGTCAAGGATGATCAATTCCTTGGCCATTCCTCAACCACCCGCCGGCGCCTTTCATCTACCACCCGCCGGCTCCTTCTTGACCTCGAACACAGCAAGTTCGGAGTCGTCGGAGCTCTCGTCGCCCTTGGCTTGCCGATGGAGCTCTTGTCGCGCCGGCGGAGGAGGGGGAGAAGATGTAGGCGCGGCGGCGGAGGAGGGGGGAGATGGGGGCGCGGCGGCGGAGGAGGGGGGAGATGGGGGCGGCGCACCGGAAGAGGAGGGGACATCTAATTATTTGCCACTCTTACGGAGGCTGCCTCTCTGATTGCCAACTTTGTGGTGGCAACTACAAAAATGTCCCAGAAAATAGTAACTCACCTAATTTTTTGCCATTTTTGCTGACGTGGCATGCCAGATCAGCCAGCCAGCTTGGGAACGGGCCGTTGACGCTTGAAGACCGAAGGCAAAAGACCATTCTGCCCCCGCCGTGTATTGCTTAACGAGCGCTGTCTCCTCCCATGTGCTCAGTCCCAACGGTTCTCTCTGGCCTGCTCACTGCCAGGCCGGGCCCACCTGTCATGTTGTCTTCAACCTCCGTCAGGAATTCCTCCCTCTCTCTCTTCTCCATTAACGGAGAATCCGAGCTCCAAAGAGCCCACCTCCTTTACTCCTGCGGCAATTAAATTCCATAATAGTGCTGCTATAACGTTGCTCTTCAATATCCCTACATCAAATGGACGTTCCTCCATTTCCTCTGTCCGTTACTCCGGCCGCCATTGATGGCAATGAACCGAGCTCCATTCCCGTCCACGTTCATCGTTCATCTCCCTATAAAAACTGGAACGAGGTCGCAAGTGCACGCCGCTGCTGCTCCTCGCCCCTCCCGCAACTTCTTTCCCGCGCCCGCCAAAGACTTAACTTCCCGTCGCCGCCATTGCCGGGTTGGCTCAAGCTCGTGATCTCCCACCTCCCACCACCTCGGACTCGATCGGTTCTTCGCCGGCACCGCAGGGTCGCCACGAGCTCACCCTACATTCCTCATCGTCGATCGCGTACGCGATCGTCGAACTCCACCGAAGCTCCGCCACCACCGTCCGCCCACCTCTTAAATCGTTGCTCGTCGTGTCCGAGACCACCCGAGCCATTCTGGCGACAAAGAGGACCACCAACATACACGCCATGTCGCCTCTTCCTTTTCCGCCGGTGGCCGCGGCGTCCCCTACCCACCGAGTCAAGCAACCGGCCGACGCCGCGAAGCGAGCCCCGCCAAGACGGGAGCACCACCACGCCGACGTCCCTGCTGCTGTGAAGACAACCAGAGCAGAGGCTCCTCTTGGCCATCCGTTTCGAGATCGACGGCCACAATTTCATCTTGACCGTTGGTCAACCAAAGTCATGTTGAGGCCACATCATCTTTTATCTTCCAATCAAGATGCGCCACGTACTTTGGTCGCCACCACGCTATCTTTGTTGGCTATTCAACCATCCAAATAAACTATATTTGCGCCCTAGCCCCGAGATCCTTCAAAAAACGATTCTTATGATCGAAAGCGAGATGGGGGAGATGGCGCTCGTTAAGCAATATACTGGCGGAAGCGAATGGTCTTTTGCCTTCGGTCTTCGAGCGTCAATGACCCGTTCCCAAGCTGGCTGGCTGATCTGGCATGCCACGTCAGCAAAAATGGCAAAAAATTAGGCGAGTTACTATTTTCTGAGACATTTTTGTAGTTGCCACCACAAAGTTGGCAATCAGAGAGGCGGCCTCCGTAAGAGTGGCAAATAATTAGATGTCCCGAAGAGGAGGGGGAGGGAGTAGATGGCGCCGGCGCAAAGGATGATGAGGGGGAGGCCAAGGGATGGGGGCGCACCGGAATTTTCTAGATGAAGGAAGGGTCGGGAGGCCAAGAGGCCCGGGTCGGGCGGTTAGGCACTTCTAAGGGAACAAATACAATGTTTTATCACTAGCAATCGAATATACTTTATTAGCTCAATGGTTAGGCACTAACTTGGGACGGCGCTGGCCGCGGTTCGACTCCTCGTTGGACCATACTTTTTTTTATTTTCCCTGTTAATTGACAACGACGCAAAAATAATGCCGAGGCAGGAATCGAACCCACGACCTCAACCCACACAGACTGCACGACCTACCACTGAACCACGGCCATGCCTGCGTTGAAGTGAGGATGGTTTATTTTATATTCATAATACGTTGAATTGTACATGTGGCAACACCAGGTTGGTTGAGTTCCTTGAACCTGGAGCACGTGGCACGCTCAGGTTGTTGCGCGCAGTAGGTTTTTTCTTTTTAATCTATACTTAGAAATTGTAAATGGTATTTCTCGGTCATAGTAACTTCAAATGTGTTGGTTTTTTTTCTAAATTTTTGTAAAAACACAAATTTTCATTTCATCTCGTTTGTTTGCATATTACATTACAAAATAGATATTTTATATATCTTTTTTACATAGCTTGTTTTATTCCACCATAAAAGAATAGATAAACATGTCTTTTGCATAACTATTGCTAAAATTACTTTATATTATGTAATGTCATGGAAAATACAATGTTCTATCCAAATTTTAGGTGAATACAAGCTTGAACATGTAAAGTGCTACTTCAATCTTAAAGTATGAGTTGAGTTACTATGAACTGTGTGAGAGTTGTCTACATTTGTGAACAATGTATGCTCCAACTTTATCAAAATAGTTATTTTTTGTTACAAGCTTAATTATAAACCTAAAATATGTTGCCACATCAATATTTAGAATTTTTGGAACAAATGTAGATAGTATTGCAATTACTACGTACGTGACAAGTTGGAGATAAAAGTTTGAATTGTCTCTTGAAGACAACATAAGTTGTCTCCATCTCCAATCCATGGTCTCCAATGGAATTTATAAAAAGTTTTTGTGCAAATTTTCGAATCTTATTGGAGGGACAAATAGTTGAACTTAGGATTACTTTCAATTAGAGCATAGAAATTCAATTAAATGATGGAAAAGTACCAAATCTATTGACAAATTATTCAAACTCCTACATGAGAACTTATATTTGTTGCCTGCTACATGAGATAAAAGTTTTTCGATGAAATTATGGAAACAAATTGAAGCTAAATTTGAATGCAAAGTGGGAAGCTAAATTACGTAAAATGAAGCTAAATTATGTAAATTCCTGGCAAGAGGGCCTCTTCTCCCGGCCATGGGCTGAATTCAGTCGGCCCAATGCCACCAACCCCAAATTTTTCGCACAGTGAATTCACGCTAATACCCTCCTATTCCAAAAATCCCACTACATTCATTAGGGTATATCTGTAATCTCCTCAAATCACCCGCGACGCCCTAATTCCAAACCTATCTCCATCTCTCTCCCACCGCCCACAAACCAATCTCCTGCACAGCCGAATGCAATCTCCTCCTCCTCCGCCGGCGCGCATCGTCTCCTGCACAGCCGGCGCGCCCCCATCTCCCAGCTTCTCTCTCCCACCACCTACCTACGCCGCCGCGCCCCCATCTCCTCCTCCTCCGCCGAGGGACGCGCGCCTCCGCTGTCCCCCATCTCGTCCTCCGCCGACCGCCGAGGGCCGAGGGCTGCCCTCCTCCGCTGAGGGCTGCGCTCCACCGCCAAGGGCCTCCCCCATCTCCTCCTCCGCCGACCGCCGAGGGCCGCGCGCCTCCGCCTACTCCGAGGGCAACCCTAACCCTAGCCGCCACCAAGCCATGCCGACGAAGGGTCATTCGAAGAAAACAAAAGCACTTGGGACGCCAGGTATATGTGCTCATGTCCACGTTGGTTGCTCATGTCCTCGTTGGTTAATTACCTGTAGTTCTTACTACTTCTGTTCATCACACATGTTTGCTAGTCGCTTCTTTCATGTCACCAATTTACTGGTTTCATTATTTGTGATTGTAAACTTGTTTAGTATCATGTTATTTACTTGTTACCTGTAGTTATTTACTGCTATTATGTCCACATTGGTGTTGCTCATGTCCTCGTTGGTTACCTGTAGTTATTTACTGGTTTAATTATGTGTGATTGTTTAGTTTATCATGACTGCTCCATATACAGTTTACCATGACTGCTTCATATGTAATTACCTAGCTAACTCTTTATTTTACCCAAATGCTCACTTCCACACCTGTAAAACATTCATGTGAAGTATCAAGCTTAACTTTCACAATCGATGCCATGTCCTTGAGATCTTAATGTACAAATGTTTTGAATTTGGTATGAAACCTGTGCTCGTTCTGTTAGTATTCTGAATCTCAATGTTGTGAGTTCAAATATGTCAATTAGTTTAAATCAGAATGTTCTGTTAGTGCTATAGATATATGTCAATGAGTGCTGCAATATTTTTATTCTGTTGCATACCAAGTTTACAAAGGGTTGGTCACTGATCATTTTTTTCTCTTGTTACATTGCACCTTCGTAGCACCGCTCCATCCGTACGAAGAGTTGCGGCTCCGACAATGCATGAGGAACAGTGCAAGGCTGCAGCAACTTGGTCTTATTCCTTCCAATCCCTTTTCTGGAAGCACAACACCAAATTCTCAAGACAAGAACAAGACAAAACAGAGAAATAGAGAAGATTCTGAATCTAACTATGAACCAGATTCAGTTGATGATGACATTGCTAAGGTGAGAATTCTTCCATCTTGTCAGGGCTTATGTTCCTGTCTTTTTGTTAATGCAATATAATTATCTCGAAATTCTATTCACTAATCAATGCTCCCGTTTCTACAAGGGCTCAGATGCAACACCTACTAGAGTCAAGTTTTGCTCTTGTAAGAGAGTGTATGCATCAGTTGCCCCAACTACTACAAGTCCAAAGTCAAACAAAACCTTTTCCCAGCCTAATGCAAGTGTTGAACCAAGTGACATCCATGTGGCACCTCCACAGGCTAGTCTTGCACCAAGTGACATTCATGTGGCACCTCCATCACACCCTGATGGGAGCCAAGCTGTTGAACCAGCTGTTGATGCTCAAGGTTAGTTCTACTACCTTTTTTTCATTCTCCAATGCCTCTGATTTCCTTTCGAATGCAATCTTA